CCGTGGATTCGGATCCGACTCATAGTGACCCCTCCTTGGGTTTCCGAGGCGGTATCACTACGGAAGTAGATTGCCCAACCTTCCTCCTGAGGAGTGGCTGGTGGGCTTGAACCGCCAGCCTTCTGGTTAGCAGTCAAGTGCCTTAGGCACTATGCTACCAGAGGCCCCTAGGTAGATTAGGCAATCTATTTCCATAGAGATACTGCTTCAGAAACCCAAGGAGGGTTCGATATCAGTCGGTTTTGACTTGATGTCAGTGAATTATTTTCTTATTTTTATTTTTATTTAACACTATCATAGTTACTGTTTTAGGCTTCTGCTCTTTCCAAGGATCCTAAATATTACTCAAATCATGAGGGAAGATATTCACTGTTTGTATAACTCAATTACTACTCTTTCTAATGTATTTGTTATTTAATAGTAAAATACTTGTTGAGAAAAAAAATGGTTGGTGAGACAAGTAGCAGAAAAGTGAGAAAGAAGCATGCAGTTAAAAGTAATACAGGTTGGTCTATCATAAGAAAATTGATTCAATCATTATTGTATATGTACCACTGCCATCAAGTCAATTCTGACTCATAGGAACCTTACAGGATAGTACAAAACTGCCCCACAGAATTTCCAAGGCAGTAAACCATTACAGAAGCAAACTGCCTCACTTTTCTCCTGCAGAGTGGCAGGTGGTTTGAACCACTGACCTTTTAGTTAGCAGCCAATTGCTTTAACTACTGCACAACCAGAGCTTCTTTGTTATTTTATATAGCACATATATTTTATATGTGTGCTATATTACCCATGGAGTCATGTGTCTATACATAGGTAATCCTTTAAGGAAGATTTCATTTATAACTACTTTGCCCACAGTAAAATACATTTCATTTCTGTATTAATACATTGTTTAATCTGTCTTAACAGAAATATCTAGGCAATAATTCTGGTTTTAAATAGTTTTTTTTTGTTGTTTTTTCTTTCCTTTACCTTGGAGGTCAAGACATCTTTATGACAGAAGAACAGAAGAAATATTATAATGCAATGAAAAAGCTGGGATCCAAGAAACCACAAAAGCCAATTCCCCGGCCAGGGGTAAAAATATATTTATATATTTAGCATGTAAATTTTCAAATGGTTTTTAATTTACCTGTCATGCACAACTATTTCTTAAATATGAGCTCATGTTTTAAGATTTAGAACAAATGTCCTTTTAAAACTCAGTATATATGTTTTAGAACATAATCACAGTTCTTAATATTCTCTTATTTTTTTTCTATAAAGATTAAGAATAATTATATATTGTTTTATTTTTTTTTTCTTACTTACACAACTTACTAAGTATAATGGCCTATGTTGTTGTTGTTGTTGTTGTTTGCTGTCAAGTCAGCCCCAACTCATAGCGACCCCTCCTTGGGTTTCCGAGGCAGGATTGAGAATTAAAATTTATTTTCAACTGACTATTTTCCTAATGACAATTTAGATGTAGTCATTGGATCTATCAGTAGTATAAAACATTTAATATTTGGTATTACAAAAAATAGCAAGACAAGCAGTTAGATAGGTCATGAATCTAACCTTTGTTTACTATGAGGTCAAAACCAATAAGCTCAGATGGAAATAGTCTTAACAGTCAATAATAGTTTGTGTTCCTGTAACAATTGAAAATTTTAATATGCATTACATGCATTTCAATTTGTCCTCAACATAACACACCTTATCAAAGGGTAATAGCTGAGAAAAGAATGTCCTAAAGATGGATGCCCAGTTAATACCCAGCTGGCTACACGGGTATCACTCAGCACATTTTAAATGGGCACATAGCTAGGTTACACTAAGACCTACTGAATCATAATCTGTGGATGTGAAGTTCTGATAGTTAATTTTTAACTCCCCTATTTGATCTTGATACAAAGCCCTCAAACCTGCCTATGCAAGTCTTAAAGGGATTCTGAAAAGGCTTGTACTTTCTGGAAAGCATAATGCTAGGAGTGAGACTTACAAGAAAAAGTAATATATAAATCTGGACATTGTAGAAATATATATATCCTATACACAGAAAGGATGAGAAAATATGGGTCTCTGATACTATAATAGTATCAGTAATATACAATGAAGTACATTGGGTAAAGTAGTATGCCAAAGTAGAAATTTAGTGGCAGGTTATTCTATTACCTTCACATACCCCAGGAGGAGGGCAGGTTGTCTCAGGTAACAATTGCCTAATATATCATACATGATGTACTAGGATGAATAAGGTTAAAAATAAATGTTAGAATACACCATTTGAATGAAGACTTTGATGTACAGTGTTGGATAGCCAATAAACAAGGTAAGGACAGTCTTCCTTGTGCTTACTTACTAATCTATAATGTACAGTTTCACATTTTTTCACCACATCAAAGATTCTGCTTCTATGTATGGCTGCCATCTGCCTCTCTCTTCATCCCACAATATCTTCCTACAGAATCAAAGCCTCTTTTCAGATTTATAATCCCTGCAGTGAACAGTTTCACAGGTTTTTACTATATCCCATGTGAAACTGTTCATTTAATTTTAACAGATTAATATTTCTTGCACACAGCAAGAACCCATGACTAGGGAGGATTATGCAACTTTTTGACTATAGATATTTTTTTCTTTGACTAATGTAATGAGTTATGGATACCATTTGCAAAATTTACTCTACCTTCCATGTTGTTCTTGTTTCTTTGCAGAACATATTCCAAGGATGTATTTTTGACCTAGTAACAAACCAAGCTTTCGATATTACCATCATGGTTCTTATTTGCCTTAACATGGTAACGATGATGGTAGAAAAAGAAGGCCAGAGTAAATACATGACTGACGTTTTACAATGGATAAATGTGGTTTTTATTATACTTTTCACTGGAGAATGTGTGCTGAAACTGATCTCTCTCAGACACTACTACTTCACTGTAGGATGGAACATTTTTGATTTTGTGGTTGTGATTCTCTCCATTGTAGGTAAGAACATATATTCATCGGATTTTAATTTAGAATAAAGCTGAACTCTATGGAGAGTTGGTGGGGGGGACATTTAGGTAAATTCTTGAATGTCAATTGAATGTAGCTTCTGAGTAACTGAGTCAATGAAAAAGATAAAGGAGCCCTACAAACAATAACATTTTTGTTATTAGGCAAATGTTTCCTACTCATTGGAAGCACATATTACACTATTTAATATTTGTTTTCTAAGAATAACATTCTCAAAAGTAGCTAAAATGCCTACATGTCAGTGTGACTTGGAAGACCGATGCAAAACATGAAATCATTTCCAGTTTTTGCATATATGAGATCTGTCCTTTAATAATATCAATAGCCAGAATATCTGTGACTCTTTTGTGAAAATATTTCCTAAATTTAAAGTGAAGCTGAAATTTGAAAAATTGTCAGCTTCTTTTTTATGGCTTAATATTTAGCAAGTCTATAACATACAACCTGTTGTCACCTTACAGACATATCTGTGAATCACAGTACATGTGTTTATACTTCCTTTCCTTTCTTTACCATATCTGTGGGTTTTTTAAAAAATTTTTTACAACCTTGTCATGTCATTTCCATTACTTACATAAAACTCAAAACTCACTGCTTTTGAATCTGTTTGACTCATAGTGACCCCTCCTTGGGTTTCTGAAGTAATATCTCTACATATGCCTTGCCTAGTAATTTAGGCTCTTGCATTTATTTTTGGAATTATTAATTTTACATAAGTATTAATTTTACATAAGGAAGTATTATAGAGATTATTAAATACAAATTCACTTTATAGTCAAACAGGCCCAGAAAAGTTAAACGCCATATAACCTAACCAAAAAAAAAAAAAACAAAAAAACCAAACCCACTGCCATTGAGTCAATTCTGAACTGTAGAGGCCTTATACCAAAATATTAAGAAGTATATAACTTAAAATAGGCATTCAAAAAATTATTTAAGAAAATAGATTAAATTTTTTAGGAATTTCACACTAACAAGCATTATATTAGAAGCACTCCCATTATGTCAAGAACAAGAAAAAAGATAGTATCCCTCTATCACCTCCATTTTTAAGAGTGTTGACCAGTTCAATTAGATGGGAAAACAAAGAGGATATATAAATTGAAATGAAGTAAATTATTATCATCAGATCACATTATGGCATTTTTTAGAAATAAAAGAGAATAACTGAAAGAAAGTATTCAATTAGTGTTCAAAAGTACAAATCTTAAAATACATTTGCCAACATTAATTATTGTCTACTGTATGGATAAAAATAATTAGAAAATATACTTGAAGAAAACTCATTTATAATTGCAATAAAAAATTAAAATATCTGGAAACAATTGTAACAAGAAATGTATGAGACTTCTATGAAGAAAACTAAAGGACATAAAAGAAAGCTTAAATGAGTGAAAGGTTTACCTTGTACTACAGGGAAGAAGACTCTAACTTTAATTATGACTATTTTCAACCAATTAATCTATAAATTCAGTGCTATCCCAATAAAAATAACAAGGAATCTTTTATACATGGGGGGGGTGATAAGCTGACAATAGAAGTACAAATTATTCTAAAATTGATCTGGAAGTGTAATGTGAGGTGACATACTAGATATCAAAATTAATATAAAATTGATAAGTAAACAGTGTAGAATAAAAATAGCTCCATAGAATCACTAACTTAGTAAAAAAGATCACATGAATTAAAGGTAAAAGTGTAAAAATAAAAAAGAATTTTAGTAAAAAAATTCAGCAACATCATGACATATGGAGAAAAGATTGAAGTTGTCAGAGATTTCATTTTACTTGGATCCATAATCAACTCCCAGTCAGGAAATCAGACGTTGTACTGCACTGGGCAAATCTGCTGCAAAAGACCTCTTTAAAGTGTTGGAAAGCAAAGAAGACACTTGGCAGACTAAGGTGCACCTAACCCAAGCCATGGCATTTTCAGTCACCTCATTTGCATGTGAAAGCTGGGCAATGAATAAGGAAGACCAAAGAAGAGTTGATGCTTTTGAGTTGTAGTATTGACAAAGAATACTGAAAGTACCATGGACTGCCAGAAGAAAGAACAAATTTGTCCTGGAAGAAGTACAGTCAGAGTTCTCCTTGGAAGCGAGAATAGCCCGACTTCATCTCACCTGCTTTGGGCATGTTGTCAGAAAGGACCATTCCCTGGAGAAGGATATCATGTTTGGTAAAGTGGAGGATCAGCAAAGAAGGGGAAGGCTCTCAATAAGATGGATTAACACAGTAGGTGCAATGATGGGCTTAAGTATACCAAGGATTGTGAGGCTGGTGCAGGACCAGGCACTGTTTCATTCTGTTGTGCAAAAGGTTGCTATGAGTCAGAGCCAACTTGATGGCACCTAACAACAATGACAGAAAATGTGTATAAATAGAATTTGTAATTATGAACTGAATAAACTTTTTTAAGCATGACATAAACCTGAATCTGAAAAGGAAAAAAAAAAAAAAATTAAGATTGTATTAAAAAAAGTTAAAAGACAAAAAATAGGGGACATTTTTATGTAACATTTACAAACAACAAAGGAACTGTACTTCAAGTAGAACAAATAGTTGTTATAAATCAGTAGGAAAAAGGTAAACATAGAGAAATAGAAAAATGAGCAATAGAGCTAAATAGCCCCAAAAGAGCAAGTAGGAAATAACCAACAAGTATAACAAAAGTCCAATAAACAAACAAAAAAATATTGTGGATTATTCCTTTTCCAAAGAATGCAAATAAATCACAATAATGTTATTTTTTCAATCATCACAAGGCTTTCCTGGTAAAAATTATAAAGAAGAATGGCATGTGTGGCACGAATATTTTCATATACTGCTATTAAGGGTGCTCCTTTGTACAGACTTTCTAGAGATAGGTTTTTTTAATACATAACCAAATTTTAAATGCTTTTTGACCCAACTTCTATTAATATATTAGCAAAAGATACTCATGCAACTAGGAAAAAATATACTTATTTAGGGTATTCATCTCAGTTAAAAAATTGGAAGCAACATAAATTGTTTTGTTCTTCAGTATGTGATTGTTTTGACAGAACATCATACAAGTTTTAAAGAAATATTATTTCATATGGAAATAACTCCATGACATATGCTGAAGTGACTAAAGCAAGTTACCAAAAAAATCTTGTATAACATGATCACATTTCATGCTTGTGCATGTGTGTATGCACATATATATATATAAATGCCTGGAGAGTTTGTCAACAAAATATTAATAGTTACAGTTGGTGATATTTCAAGTGATTTATATTTGCTTTTTATCATTTTACTGTGGCGCTTGCATTTTTTTCATAAGTAGGTATTATCTTGATAATTCAGAAAATTACTTTGGAGGAAAAAAGGTCTACAGTAAAAGGGGGAAAATGTGAAATAAGATTCTAATAATTTTCCATTGGGATTGCTCAATTCTTTGATTGTTACAGAATTACTTTCTATATAAAATTTCAGTCCTAGATTAATAAGAGATAACATGGAAAATGAAACTCTTTAGAATCATGATTTTCTGTATTATGAATATTTAAATATCTCCTTTTTGATCTTTCTCTCCTGCATAGGAATGTTTCTGGCTGAATTAATAGAAAAGTATTTTGTGTCCCCTACCCTGTTCCGAGTGATCCGACTCGCCAGGATTGGCCGAATCCTGCGTCTGATCAAAGGAGCGAAGGGGATCCGCACCTTGCTGTTCGCTTTGATGATGTCCCTCCCAGCATTGTTCAACATCGGCCTCCTGCTCTTCCTGGTCATGTTCATCTACGCCATCTTTGGAATGTCCAACTTTGCCTATGTTAAAAAGGAAGCAGGTATTAATGACATGTTCAACTTTGAGACCTTTGGCAACAGCATGATCTGCCTGTTCCAAATTACCACCTCTGCTGGCTGGGATGGACTGTTGGCACCTATTCTCAACAGCGCACCACCAGACTGTGATCCAAAGAAAGTTCATCCTGGAAGTCCAGTTGAGGGAGACTGTGGCAGCCCATCTGTAGGAATATTCTATTTTGTCAGCTACATCATCATATCATTCCTGGTTGTGGTGAACATGTACATTGCTGTCATCCTGGAGAACTTCAGTGTTGCTACTGAAGAAAGTACTGAGCCCCTGAGTGAGGATGACTTTGAGATGTTTTATGAGGTTTGGGAGAAATTTGATCCCGATGCGACCCAGTTTATAGAATATAGCAAACTCTCTGATTTTGCAGCTGCCCTGGATCCTCCTCTTCTCATAGCGAAACCAAACAAAGTCCAGCTCATTGCCATGGATCTGCCCATGGTCAGTGGTGACCGGATCCATTGTCTTGACATCTTATTTGCTTTTACAAAGCGTGTTTTGGGTGAAGGCGGAGAGATGGATTCTCTTCGTTCACAAATGGAAGAAAGGTTCATGTCTGCGAATCCTTCTAAAGTGTCCTATGAACCCATCACAACTACACTGAAACGAAAACAAGAGGATGTATCAGCTGCTGTCATTCAGCGTGCTTATAGACGCTACCGTTTACGGCAACATGTTAAAAATATATCAAGTATATATATAAAAGATGGAGACAGAGATGATGATTTTCCCAATAAAGAAGATATGATTTTTGATAATGTTAATGAAAGCTCAAGCCCAGGAAAAACAAATGAGACCCCATCTACTGTCTCTCCACCTTCATATGATAGTGTAACAAAGCCAGACAAAGAGAAATATGAAAAAGACAAAACAGAAAAAGAAGACCAAGGGAAAGATGGCAAAGAAAGCAAAAAATAAGGCTTCATTGTTGATATATTATTAGTATAGATCAGCCAATGAAGGTGATCTATTTGTGTTAATAAGACTCTTTGAAGGAGGTCTATGCCAAATTCTTTTCACCAAAATATTCTCAAAGTCAAAGCAGTTACTAGCTCTGATTCCTTAAGATTGGTGGACAGCATTGACAGATGGCTATTTTTGCATTGGTAAGTGATACTGTGAGAACTGTAACAGTTACTCTTTATGGACTGATTACAGCAAACAAGTGATTTTTTTTTTTTTTTTTTTTTGGCTTTTAATAAATCAGAAGACAATGTAGAAAATTTTCACATCTGCCTTGTCATCTTTTCATATGTTGAATCATTTTTTTTCCAATGTAAATACAAACATCCACACATACAAACACACATGTACATACACATAAATAGGAAAATATTTATTATTTTGAAATCAACAAAAACATATGTAGGCTATTCATTGAAAAAATACTTTTGATTCATCTCGACTCATATACCAACCACGATAAGATGTACCCTTGGAGTATTGTGCTTAATATCCTGTCATTTTAATTTCTTTTTGTTCATACAATAACCACAAAACATGAAACAATATTCTAAGTACATGTAACATTCCTCAGAAGAAAAACAATGAAGATAATGATGAAAAGAAGCAACTGAAGGAAGCTCTACTTAACATTCATCATGCAATCCAACACCGGACTGTGCTGCTCAAAATTACCAGTAATGACCTAACTCTCAATCTCTTTTGTCACATTTTTCTTTTTTCTCAGGCAGTATTGTTTAGTTATCCATTAGCACTAAGCAATGTTGATGTTTCCCTTCAGTGAAGTGCTTCCTGGTTAGCAAATTGCTATTTGATACCATGGTGCATGTTTGAGCAGATAATGAGTTGGGTACCGTTCCCCACAGCATACTATATGAACTGTGTTTGGCAAACTTTCAAGTCATAATATATTGCAGGCTTTCAACACAGACCTGTGTGTAGTATGAATGAAAGAGCATTCAACTGGGATTCTTGCTGACTTCCTTTCTTGCCATTAATTTGCTTTCCTAATTTGTTTAGTAATCCTTTTAAACCTCTGTTTTTTTCATGAACAAAATGAGAGGTGTCACTGTCTCCTCTAAAATTCCATCACAGTGACGTATATTTAGCATTATCAATCAAGTACCCCCAGTTTATAGTTCACCAAGCACAGATTACCTTTGTCTTAACTGTTGTCATCCTCCCAAGGATTGGAAGTCGTGTAAAAAAAAAAAAAATCCTTGTAAATGACTGGAAAAGAAATGGCTATGATGCATTTTTTCATGACTTTAGGAGAATTTTTTTCTACCAAGTTATTCCTGTACAGGAAAAAAATTTAGTAATAGAGGTTTTTGTGGAGTTTGGAAGCAAATATATACAATATACTTCACTCATTTGCTTTCTAAATTTAAAAAAGAACATAATTTCTATTTCTATAATAAGTACTTAAAGCACTTTTTTTTTTCATTCTGGTGAGATAATGATAAAAGAGATTTACTGGACATGAAAGTAGCCCTGGTAGCACAATGGTTAAATGCTTGACTGCTAACTGAAAGTTAGAGGCTCAAACCCACTAACCGCTTCATGGGAGACAGATGAAGCAGTCTGCTTCTATATTTACAGCCTTGGAAACCCTATGGAGCAGATCTACTCTGTCCTAAAGGATCACTGTGAGTCAGCATTTTTTTTTTTTAAATAAACATGAAAATGTACGAGTAGAGAAAGAGAGAGAGAAAGAGACTAAGAAATAGACTGAAAGAGAAGAACATAAAGACACTGCCACAGAACTTCTTATCTAGGCAATTTTTAAACTTTGCTATATTTTACAACAATATCTATGAAAGAGATTATCACTTCTGAACATTTGTCTTATTGTATATGGGAAATTAAATCTAGAACCAAAGATTCTTTACATGTTAAATCATAGTCATAGGTCATTTGAGCCACTTTTTAAATTTAGTACAAAAGATACCATGCAGTGTTGTCCTAGACTATGTAGAGCATTGCATCACATATGTGCTAAACCTGTTAATAAAAGGTTTTGAAAATTTAATTGGGGAACCATACAAAATAAATTACATTTGTAACAATTCTTTACATTCAAATTAACATCACCTTAAATTTGAAACTAGTCCATCCTTATAATTTTAAGCCATATTTATAATTCTTGGGAATATTTATGTAATAGACACATAAGGTCGCCAAGAGTCAGAGGTGATTCTGATTTTTGGTGTGAAAACATGCATGATGGGCAGGTTTATGTGTCATTTACCAAAAAAGTTTTTATATTGACTAATTTTTGTGTAAGGAGCTGTAGTTGCACAGTGACAAAAGCATTCAGCTGCTAACCAAAAGGCCGGCAGTTCGAACCCACCAGCCACTCTGCCAGAGAAAGATGAGGTAGTCAGTCTGCTTCCGTCAAGGTTTACAACCTTTGAAACCCTGCTCTGTACTATAGTGTCACTGTGAGTTGGAATCAACTCAATGGCAATGAATTTAAAAATAATAATAATTTTTTAAATTAGCAAGTGGTTCCTCAAAATAATTTTTTCCTCACATTCAAAAAAAAAAAAGTGACTTGTGTTCTTATTACAGGCTGAATTACAATCTTTTTCCTAAAAAAAAAGTAATAATATATAACATGGTTAGGTTTTGTGTATATATATTTGTCCCAAAATGTCTACTGTGACTTTTTATTTTTTTAAAAAAAAAAACACAATATTTGGCACTAAAATCTCATTAAGTACACCGTAAGCTTAGAATAAAAGGAGACTCCTCTTTTCATGTAAATCACTGTTGTTTAGTACTAATTATAAGATGTCAACCACCAGAAGGCACAATATTGATAATTAAATTACATAATCCCTAAACTCATTTCACCTAATATAGAATGACAGTTACACTGGAAAATTTGTATTAGAATAAAGTGGAGGTGACATACATGAATGCAAATCTATAACATTTGGATAAAAGTAGGAGAATCTCATTTTTAAACTTTCTGACTGCTGCATAATTCACAAAAGATATAACTGGTTTGTGAGATGTTACTAACCACTGATTGTTGAAAATTTCAACCCAAAATATTCAGCATGATTTTATAGAATTTTGATAGCTTTATTAAAAAGAGCTAAGATAAAATGAATCTGTAACTAAAGCAGTTTAAATAGACATTTCAGAGAAGCATTAATGGAAGTCCAGGTAGTCCTTGACTTAGAATGCAGTCTTGTTCTGTCAAGTCCATCATAAGTCATTTCTGATGTAAGTCGAATACCTCTTGTTCCTTAGTTTTCATAATTGCCTTTTATTATCTTATAATAAAGTATCTTTATAAATCTGATCTTTGAACATCTGCAAGTGAACATCTGAGAATGAGAACATCAGCAAATTATTTGCTGCAACATTGTATGTAGTACATACAATTAACAATAAAATGTACCAAAAAAAAAAAGTCCGTAAGTGTGATTAGTTGTAACTCGAACACATTGTAAATCAAGGACTACCTATAAGGAAAGGACAGCCAGCTATATTAGAATGACTAAATAATTGGTCTGGGTTTAGGACTTAGGTTTAGAGATCATTAATTTTTTTCTAATCTGTGGTTTGTTATGTTATCATACTCTTGAGAAAAACAATAAAGAATTGTTTCATGAAAACAAATCACCATGAATATAATGCTGTGTGAATGCTCAAAATGTTTGAGTTTGTCATAAATTATATTATAGTTATATCGTACTTGAGACTTACATATTGTAATAGAAGCAAAAAATAAAAGTCATCCAAAGAAAGTAGAGTCATGTTTGCTTGTATTTTCTGTTTCATTGAGAATAACCTTTTTTAGAGGTCAATCCAGTGCATCCCTAAATAAGTTCAATTACTGATAACCTGGAGTCCCTGGGTGGCACAAATGGTTAAGCACTCAACTACTAACTGAAAAGTTGGTGGTTATGATCCACCCAGACCCACCTCAGAAGAAAGGCCTAGTGCTCTACGTCTAAAAGAGCACAGACATTAAGCACTCTATGGTGCGCAATCTACTCAAAAACACATGAGCCAGAATAGACAAGATGACAGCTGGTGTTTTTTTTGTTTTGTTTTGTTTTTTGTTTTTAAGTACTAACCCAAATCATAGAAATTCACAACAGAGGAGAAAATTGAGACAAGCAGTGAAAATATACAAACATTTAGTCACACAGTGATGAGTGTGTGTGTGATGGACATTGAGATATATAGCATGTGGTGGTTATGCGCCATCAATTTGATTCTGACTCACAGTGATCCCATAGGAGGTAGTAGAATGACCCATAGGGTTTTCATGACTGTAATCTTTACAGGAGCAGATCACCAGGGCTTTACTCCTTCAGAGTCATTGGTTGGTTCAAATCACCAAGTTTTCAGTTAGAAGCTGCATTCTTAACCATGTCAATACCAGTGCACCTCAAGAGATAATATTGCATACATAATGGATAAGGCCTTAGGTTCTGGAGCTAAAACTCTATTTGGATCTTAGGTCAGCCAAGACTAAGTTTCTTTAATACGTTATTTGACCCATCTGTGCCTCAGCTTTCTCAACTGTAAAATGAGGGTAAGAGTATTACACAATATGGTTGTAAGGATAGAATGAGACAATCCATATGAAGAAATTAAAACAATACCTGACAATACAAAGTCAAAAATTTAAATTAGTGGAAGTAGCAGTAAGTGTAGCAGCCATTTTACCACTAAAAATGTAAGAGCTCAGGCTACCTCTTCATTATACAGGAGCACAGTGCATTCTCCATAAATGTTAAATAATGACACTATTTCCTCTCTTTTATGTTGTTGTTGTTAGGTGCCGTTGAGTTGTTTCCGACTCATAGTGACCCCATGCACAGCAGAACGAAACACTGCCCGATCCCACGCCAGCTCCATGATCCCTGCTATACTTGAGCCCATCATCACAGCCACCGTGTCGATCCATCTCGTTGAAGGCCTCCCCCTCTTTTCACCTTACCAAGCATGACATCCTTCTCCAAGGAATAGTCCCTTCTGACAACATGACCAAAATAGGTGAGACGAAGTCTGGCCATTCTCGCTTCTGAGGAGCATTTCGGGTACACTTCCTCCAGGGCAGATCTGTTACCAGCAGAAAGTACCAGCAGTCCATGGTACTTTCAGCAATCTTCGTCAGCACCACAACTCAAAAGCATCAACTCTTCTTCGGTCTTCCTTATTCATTGTCCAGCTCTCACATGCATACGAGGCGATTGGAAATATCATGGCTTGTGTCAGGCACACCTTAGTCCTCAAGGAGACATCCTTGCTCCCCAGCACTTGAAACAGTTCCTTCACAGTTGACTTTCCCAATGCTACACGTCGTCTA